AAAATGTTGGTAAAAATAATTAACGATGGCCGCTTCGGCCTGAGGTAATTATTTTTCCAACATTTTCGAATTTATTTCTTAAATATCTAGCTATCTCAAAAAAACCCACAACATACAACGTACTTTCTCCGCGTGCATGATATACACAAATGTTACTGTGGCTTTGAGTTAGAAGGCGCAATACCATACATGCTTTAGACAACGTTTGAATTACCTCCCTTAGAACAGTAATGTGTTTTATGATTATTCAAAACTGTGGCATCTTCAAGTAAATATCGATAAAACAAAAGTGATGATATTTGGTAGAGGAAGAGTATCCCAAAATATACGTTTTACTTATAACAGAAATGAAGTAGAAATTGTAAAAAAATCAAATATCTTGGTGTTCATTTTACTCAAAATGGTTTCACGCAGTTAAATATTAGACAATTATATGATAAGGGCCTTAGAGCAATGTATTGTGCTATTGCTAAATGCAGAGACCATAATCTATCAATAGACTGTAAATTAGATATTTTCGATAAAGCTATCAAGCCTGTCATGTTGTATGGTTGTGAAGTCTGGGTTTTTTTGTGAGTACAAACTTTAGAACGTTTACATTTGAAATTCTGTAAACATATTCTTCAGGTGAAAACATCGACACCCAATTTCATGATTTATGGGGAATTAGGAAGATTTCCTCCGAGTATAAATATCAAAGTTCGAATGATTGAATTTTGGGCCAAATTGTTAGAACCAATGCCTAATAAGTTAAGTAATAAAATGTATAAAATTATTATAAACTTTAATACACAATGGTCGAATTGTATTAAAAATATCCCTGATGAATGTAATTTAATAAAGTTATTTGAAAGTCAAGAAATCCAAAGTACCCAAGGGTTGAAAAATACAGTTTTCCATACACTCAAAGATGAATACATTAATAATTGGAGAAGCGATGTTTTTAATTCACCTAAACCAATTACAGAATTTTTTTAAATGACTTAGTATTAGAAAAATACCTGATAGATCTCCCTCCAAGACTAGCAAATGTTTATTGTAAATTTAGAATTTGTAATGTAAAATCTCCGATTGAATGTGGTAGATGGAATAACATTCCAAGAGAAGATAGAAAATGTACTTTTTGTGACCTTAATGAAATTGGAGACGAATATCATTATTTGTTTAATTGTAATGACCACCAGATACTGCAAAACAGAAGAAAAGTTATGTCGAGATATTATTTTGAAAGTCCTAATACTTTCAAGTTTAATACATTATTTATTTACATCAATAATGAAGAATTGATTTCACTTATAAAATTCCTTACGCACATAATTGAGCGAATTAATACTGGCCATTAACACCATGATTTGTATGTAAACTGTACTATATATATGTGACAAAGAAGTTACATAGACGGTAAAATCCCATATAACACTGGATCCTAATGGAGGTATGTCCGTAGGATACGAATTACTTAAAACAGTATATAGGGCAAATAAACGAAGTAATTCCAACAGTGTGGACAAGTGAAGGATGTGAAATTTTCGGAGATCCGCTCATTTTTCAAGACACAGTGAAACAGAACAGTTACATGTATATATACATCATATTACAAGAAGATAGAACTGATATACTGTAATTGAAAATATAGCTATTGTATAAAACCAATAGTCCCCTCGGCTAAAGACAGGTCCTCTACATCAGCGTTCTTTGTCCGCGATGGTCTCGGCTTAATTGCTGCCTTCGGCTGTCTTTAGCCGAGGGGACTATTGGTTTTATACAATAGCTATATTTTCAATTATAGTATATCAGTTCTTTCTTAAGAAAGTTTCACATAATGGTTATGACACCATGTAGAGATGATTCTTTGAAAATCTAAGCATTCCGATAACCTGGAGATTTTTGGTAAAAAGATACAGAAAAAAATAATTTTCGTCAATTTTAACACTTTCACATTTTTTGAGTGTGCGGCATTGTTCAAAACTATTACAACAATGAAAAGAAGCATTGCTAATCAACCCTACAAATATTTTATTTATCATAAAATATCTACAACATGTTACACAAAGCGTTTTTTATTGAAATTAGTGGATAAAAGTTACTATATACCAGCTAAAAGCAAACAGGATACATAGTTTCATACAAAAAGAGTGAAAATTGAACCAAATACACACAAAGTTTTTATATTTCATTTATTTTGCATTTTACAATAATTTTGACCCGATGAGAGTTGTCTACCTTGAAAAAAATCGGAACTTTTGCAGAGGGATAGAATTTATACAATGACAGTTATTTCTCTCAATCATATACACGCTTACGCATGGCATCAGGTACATATGTAACCATAGGCTATCGCATGGTATGCCGTTATCACGTGCACGAACATGCACTTCTTTTTATAGGGATCTTGATATTTTACAACCCACTATTTTCACAAAGTTATTGTAATTGCATTTGTGAAATGATTTATCTGACCGAGCGTAACTCGCTCGACAACAAAAGTCGTAGCGACCCAGAGCTTGTTAACTACTGTTAGCACGTGATATGTACAAGTGAGGTTGGTAAACAAAACACATCGGTCTGCATTCCATGCGCCTCATATACGACCTTCTTGAAGTCGTCTTATGTCAGTGTCTTCCCGTGACTTAATTAATGTCTTTGTATCATCAGCTTTATTTCTGAAGTACGTACACATTTCCCAGTGAAGTCTTGTATCGGGTGTTGACATATCGTCACACACGTGTATTATTGTTTACCCGGTGTTACTATAATTTATAACATACTTATTAAAAAAGACGTGTTTTTTTTGTATATGCGATACGACACAATTGCTTTAACCCATATCAGCCCTCGCCGTATCACACCCCTAAATTTCATCCCTTTTGGAACACTTCTAATTTTTCCCATCTACCACCAACAACGTCATTCGGAACCCTTATGATTTTTTTTCGTTTTTCAAAATTTCAAAAGAAAAATAGATCATATGAAAGAAGATCTATCCGTATCTTGTAAAAAAAGTATGCAATAAACAGAATAAAACATGACTTTTTCCATATCACATCCAGTATCAACCCTCGACCAATATCGGCCCTCTGGCCTTCGCCCATCGGGCTGATACTGGACCCTCGGGACGATACTGGGTATGATATGGAAAAAGGCATGTATTATTCTCTATTTACACTACGATAATGGAATGCCCGATACGCAATACGGAAATGACGACACGAAAATGCGACAAGAAAAACATGTGTATTACGAAGGGTGGGAAGTCCTTAACAGCGAAAATCGTAACGACATTGAGCTTGTGAACTCGTGTAAGCACGTGGTATGCACATGTGAGGTCGGTCCAGAAATCACATCAGTCCGCATTCCATGTGTTTCATATATGACCTTCTTGAGGTCGTCTGGTTTCATGTCAGTGACTTCCCGTGAGTCTGTTTATGTCCATGAATTGGAAGCTTTATTTCTGACGTACGTGTGATTACACAAACTCGATATTGGGTGTTGACATATCATCGTCACGCACGTGTACTATTGTTTACCAGGTGTTACATTAATGACGACACGGTGTACATGCACATTTCGATCGAGTTAATTGAGTCCGAGCTGTACTTTTTCCGGAAGTACGTCACGAAAATGGACACTGATGACGATGTGTGGAGCCACCTTAACACGTATAATCCTTGTGTTGGAATTTATTATTTTTAATTTGTATTAATATTCCTTATTTTTCCCTTTTTTTTGGACTGAAGCGTTTCTCGGAAACTACTGATTGGATTCTAGTGAAGATTTTATTGAGTATAAGAGGGCTTGTGTAGATGTGTAACTATTTTTCACAGCTGCTCACCCAAGATGGACTGTAACATTAAATAATATGATGTTAGTAATTGATGTTTATGATTTAATTCAATTGTTAGTTAACTTAATAAACTTGACATACTTATTGTGCCATTCACTTTTCTCTGGTGTAAACAGCCATGACCACTCCTAGTACTGTAGCACTTGCATACGTTCCAAAAAAAAATGTTTTTTTAATTTTGCTTAGTTTCTGTTAAAAATTGAAGATGTACAAGATTTTTTAATTTTAGATATCTCGCATAGCCTGCTCACGTTATAACTTTAAAACAAATAGTTTATCACATTGCCTGCTTCAATTGATAGCTCACAGAGGGCATTTCTCAAGGTATATAAACGTAAACCCGCGGGGAAATAAGCAGGATATTACTGTACACCTTGAGAGTGTTATTCACATTATTTTGGAGGGCTGAAACTTCTAGCGGATATATGGCGGATATGACCTCGTAATTGTTGATAATAAATATTGAGACTATTGACTGGTATAAGGCAGTAATATGGTTTTAAAATTTAAATTAATCAAAGCATTATCATCTATATATAAGCTTTTAAATATATAAAATATTTGTGGATTTCACGTTACTGTTTTGTATAGATCTAGCTGATGAAAATGGTAAATGATATGAAAAAATGTCTAAAAATGATGAAAATAGACTATATCAAAGCTACATGTATATGACAGTACTGTATATATGTTACATATAATGTGGGAGAACACAGGTAAAAACCAGGTAAAATATATATGAAACCAGACTATAACTGTTATCACGACATTATTATCTCTATGGGTTTTTTTTTAAAGTTGGAGAAAGGAGAACACACCACTTATTCCATGACCATCGAAAGTAAGGGAACAATCCATGTCTCTGTCGAAAATAATTGGTAATAATTGAACATTAGCATTGACTGGAATCATATTTTAGATCAACTTTATTTTAAGATGATTTCGTTTTAATGTAGCACGGCTGTTGACAGAGTAAGCCAACACATCCCAAGGCAGTGATGGTTCTGGTCGGCCGTCTTTGATGTTTATCACAATAAATGTGAAACGCCATTAAGTAGTGGAAGGTCTAATGAAAATTCTAATGGCATTATAACGGTGACCATATTGATTATAGCTAGGCTGCACATTCCGTATTTTACTGGGTACAATTAAAAGATTGAAAGGTGACAGGACGAGAAAAATACTTTGGTGTATATATGTTTGAAAACAATTTATTTTAAGGAACCGAATTCAAAGTAGCTCATTTCGCGTCAACACGACTAACGAGCAGCATTTAACTTGTGAATGTAAAACACAGACGATAGTCATAACTAACTGTTCGGTTGGTTGGAGAATTTTCAATACAATTTGAGATAGTAAATTCACATCGTTATACGTTTTCTTGGATGCAATCAAACGGATATCAGCAAATGTTTTTTTTATCGATAGTATCAAGGAAACACATACTGCCCGATCTGAGCGTAAGAACGCATTGAAATGGAATATCCGATTGTGTGCGGGAAGAAGAGCTTATGCGTACTGATGTCTATAGCCATGCTGTTATGTTACTGTAAGTAAACGCTATACCCTGTGTACTTTCTAGGGTGAGTGTACCTAAAATGGAACACTTATTATATATTTTAATATTTCCTATAGAGTTTCTGAAATATCAATTGTATTACTGTTATGAAACAATATATCACTTTATCCTTATTTTCTGTATTTCTAGGGTATCAACGACACGTGTGTCTATTCATAGTCCTCATTAAAATGAGTCATATTAACATGGAATTCTAAGGTGGTCAAGAAACCCAAATTGGAACACTTCAGCATATAAGTCATTTTATGAAAATAACTGAAAGCATTTTAAAAAATCTTCATTTCAAAAAGGTTTTGACAATTTCATTTAATCCCGAAAATTTTTGTTTGAACATATAGTGTTCCGGGTTTAGAAATATAATATGATATTTATGTTGTCGAACCGTACCGTTGTCCGGGATTCTTTTTCCATTTCATTTTTTTAATATTTCAATGATTTTGTGAGCGATGTTTAAGAGGAAGGCAGATGAAATTTGCTCAAAATGCATTAAATTATATATATCTTGATTGGGAATACATCATAAAGAATTGTTTGATAAAAGTGCTAAATTTGAACTTAAATTTAATATCTCAATATATTCGTTATTTGGCGTATTTTAAACTACAAACTTTCATTTAATTTATTCCATCGTGTGACATAAATATAATTAATATCCTGGAACTATTTGTGTAAATTGTTTCTCCCTAACTTGTGTCAATTAAGATGTCAAGTTTTATTCGAACTTTAGGCCATTGGCCCGGGGTGTTCTCGTTTCCCCCACTTTTTATATAACAAAAGAAAGTGTTGATTTAGGAAGACAATGGCAAACCAATTATAGTTTGTTTCATACTTTCCCCACAGGTAACTTACCTGTGTGAAAGTTACCTTTGTGACTTGTAGCTTTGTTTTATATGTTGGGTATAAATAAGTTTTTAATACTTTTTTGTGGTTCAAATATCTTTATATATAATCGATTTATTTTTATACATATGTAGTGTTTACAGTCAAATATTTACATTACACTTTTAAACAGATAATATAGAATATAACAGCACTACATAAGATTTCACAATCGAGTATTTCACTACTTAATATAAAGTTTATTTCATTCCAAATTAAGTTGCATTACATCACATAATATACAAAGTATGTACTTATACATCATGATTACATTTCAATTATATTGCAATTTTTAAACATACAACCGTCACTGCATACTAATTATATTAATTTATATTACACTGTTAGGCCACCAAATACAAGACAAGTTAACTTTAACATTATATTTCAAAACATGTTAAGAAGTTAAATCCCTCAATATAAACTTTACATTACATTTACTAATCACACAATACAAATACATTAACAATATTCACATATTAAGAATAGTAAAGTTTAGTAAAAGCAATCTCAAATTGCCTCATAGATGAATTTTCCTAGTATACACAATTCTTTAATATCATGAACACTCAATAACTGAACGGCTTTAAACACAGATTTATTTTTCCAATAATAGCTTTTAATAAAACGTGATCTGAGATTTTGGAATTTAGAACAGATTAATAAAAAATGGATTGTATGCCTTGATAAAAAATTCTTTGTTTTATCAATGGTAATAACACATTTTGCTGAGAAATACATGGACTTAACCAAACATCACTAAGACCTAGATTATTCAATTCGTCTCTTACTGCTTTAGCCCAGTTGAAATCATTTTTACTACAACATTTAAATAAAAATCTAAAGGAAGTGGAAATGATACAATTTTAAGATTTTAAGATCTTAAACCAATATTTCATCATTCTAATCTTTCTCATACAAACTAGAGGTAATCGTCCCAATTCAAGATATACCATGTTGTTATTGGCCGATTTCTTCACATTTAGTAATTTCTTACAAAAATGTCAATGTACATGTTCAATCTCTGGAGCTTTGTGCATACACCAAATTTCACTTGCATAAAAAAGGATATTGCTTACATATGTATCGAAAAGGTGTAGCATAGTTTCTTTGAAAATAATGCAAATATAGCTTTTCGTCCTTGGATAGCTAATTGTTTTTGGATAGAAGTGAATTTATTATTGTAATTTAGAATAACATCTAGGTAAGGAAATTGGTCCACACATTCGACTTTACTTCCTTTGTAATACCATTTTTCATCATTATGTAATCTTCCACCTTTTCTAAGAACTACAATTGTTTTCCCCATATTTACAGTTAAACTCCATTTTGTAGAGTATTAAAAAAGGCTATCAAGAAGAGTCTGCAGGCCCTGTATAGATTCCGAAAAAATAACCCAATCATCTGCGTACATTAACGGAAACAAACTCACCGAAGTCGTAATATGTTGCACCGTTTTCAATAAAGGACATTTCAAAATCATTGATAAAAAGTGAAAACAGTAATAGTGACAAAATTTCCCCTTGCAATAAACCGACATTGTTTTCAAAAAAGTTAGAGCATTTCCCATTAATTGAAACACAGGATTTGACTGATTTATAAAGCGACTTAATAACAGACAACATTTTCCATCGAATACCAAGCCTAGTCAACTTGCGCCATAAGCTTAACCTGTCGACAAAATCAAACGCTTTGCGAAAATCTTCAAAACAACAATACAATCTTTTCCTAGATGACAATGTTTTTGTTTTAATAGTATCATATGCAAATATAGCATCTATCGTACTCACTTCCGGACGAAATCCGAATTGAGCATCTGTTAAAATATCATATTGTGTGCAAACATCTAAAATACGTTTATTAAGTATAGAAGTAAAAAAAATACTTAGACAGCTTATTAAACTGATGCCTCGAAAGTTATTAGGGTCATTACGTGTACCTTTTTTATGAACAGGAATAAAAACAGCAGATGGCCAATTTGCAGGAAAACACCCAGCTTCTAAAATATTGTTAAACAGCATACACAAATTGGGAAGAAGTAATTCTGCACAGTTAATAAAGCATTCATTTAACAAACCATCCAGTCCATGCGCTTTGCCACATTTCAAATTTCGAATAGCAAATCTTACTTCATTAAAAAGAATCGGTGCATCTAGTTCATCATACATAATATCTTTATTAATGAAAATGTTGTCCTGTTGAATTGAGCCATCGTTTTGTACATTTGACAAATTTGTAAAATGATCATATAGTTGCTCGCCTGTCAATAATGGCGAATTACCTTTTTTCTTAGAAAACTTTCTGTAAAAATACCAAGGATTATATTTTCTCATATGTTCCAGCATGTCACCTTCAGTACCTAAGTATTGCCTTTTAGACTTAGCTTCCATTTTTATATATATTCCTTTTTCCTAGTCATAAGAACAGCATGAGTAGTATGACTTTTTTCACTATTAAAACTATGCAGTGCATCCAAATACTGCTTACGCAATTTTTTACATGATCATTAAACCAGAGTTTATTATCTCTACTGGCAACAGTAACATTTACATTAACAGGGCGCGTGGCTTTGGTCATAGAAATATCAGGTGGTTTCTTTAGAAAGAAGGGTTCCATAATACCTTGTAACGTCTTTGTAAAAGTATCAACACAGGTATCAATAGAGTCTTGATTTAATTCTTCAGTAATAACAACCGAGTTGTTTAAGCTATCTGAATGAACTCTTATAGCTTCCATAAACTGATATTTATATTCATCCCCCCATTTATATAAAGGTCTACTCTCAAAGTCTTGCTCGTCTAATTATGATTCCTTAGAAAGAACAATGACATATTTCCACATGTAAAGGAGCGTGGTCATAGCATTCAGTAAAATTACAAACTTTAATTTTTTTAACAATGTGAAAAAGACAGAAAGGTATTAAAAGGTAATCGATTATACTCATTCCATTTGAGCCACAAAAAGTAAACTCACTAGATAGATCATTAGAATCTCTCCCGTTCATAATTCTAAGGCCAGAGGACTTACAAAGATTCAGTAACCTAGCGCCAAATTCGTTAGCACCTGGATCAAGTTTTTTTCTAACTGGTAACAGACGTTCCTCGTTACTATCGCTAGTATATACTAACACAGACTCAATATGTGAACGAATCCGTTCATGTATATTATCCAAACAAATGAAATCATTAGAAGTACGAGTACGACTATTGAAATCGCCAATCAACATCACATTTTTATGTACAGAATATTCCATTAACATATTTTCTAGAACTTGGAAAATATCACATTCATATAACTGGTAATAATTGGATGAGTTGGATGGAATATATGTAAATATCAACACTAGGTCATTTGTATGGGTGGTTAAACATTGGACAACTGTTACCGGGATGATGGTATCAAACAAAGCCTCACCTACATCAACAAACTTAGCTATGGTATTGCGTACAAGAATGACAATTCCACCACCTTGCGTACTTCGCGTTAATTGTCGAGGTAATACAACTGATTCGTATTCATCCAGCTCCAGCTTAAAGTCATTTGGAATACAGGACTCCGACGGAAAAAAATGTCATAAGCAAATATGAAATTCCGGAATTCAGTTACCCGCTGGTTTATTTTTTAACTAGGCCACCATTTATATTCCGTTAACGGCATGTTCAGTAAAGTCAGTTAGGGGACTGTCAATGTAATCTACCCCCCC